GAGCCTCAAAGTTGACTTTTAGTCTAAATTTTGTCAAATACTTCAAACTCAATTTGCTCAAAAACTATAAATCTGGGAATATTGTAAATTACAGGCCATTTAGAGCCTAATAAGAGCTACAAATGCTGGAAATTTCAATGTAATTTGCTCAACGGTTACCGAGCAATCGAGGTTTAAAGATTTTGAAATCAGAATTCAAAGGGGGTACCCTTATAGTCTAAGAGCCAGTGAATTTTTTTCCGTAAAAAGTTGCCGATGGAAAATTTCATGCTTAAACGATGTAATATTATCCCCCGAGATCGAAAACCATAGTCTGGCAGCATGTAGTGGGGAAGTTTGGCGTAGGCATAATTAATAAATCAGTAAAAATTCATGAAAATCGAACTATTTGCCGATGGTCAACTTTTGCGGCATATCATTCAAAAATGTTCCCTTAACAAGGCTGTAATAATAGATCCTGAGATAGGGCCTATTTAGTGGAGTCATTTTTTTTTGTCTGGCATTTTGAGGGATGAATGTGGCTAGTTAGCTGATGAGAATATAAGTGGTTTTAATGCCTGCCCCCTGTTCGAAATGTCCACAGAATGTTTCGCCGGAAAAATCGACTTCGAACTGTGATTACCGTCTGGCGATTTTTCAGCGTTATTTTCACAACAAAACCTTTCATTCTCTCGATTACCAGACAAAAAGTAAACGCGGAAGGTTCTTTTTTTTTCTCTTGGAAGTTGACACTCATCCCCACTTTTTCAGCTATCGGGTATTTTTTTATGGGTGAATTATTCATCAATGTGAATCTTTTATTTAGAAGCCAAAAAATTTGAGATCATTAAAAAAAAATTCTTCATGTAAATCAATTTTTTTCTTCTGCAAATTTTCGAACGGGAGGCAGGCATTAAAATCACCCATATTCTCATCAGCTTAGTAGCCACATTCAGCCCTCAAAATGCCAGACAAAAAATAATGACTCCACTAAACAGCCCCTATCTCACAGTCTATAATGCCAGACGATTTTCACGGGTTTAAAGCCTTGCCAGACGCCCCCAGATTGCAAAAAAAAATATAAAATTTTCGAAAAAATTGCGAATCGAATAGAAATATTGTTACGACGAGGCTGTAGACGGAATCGTGGTAACCACATAAGTACTATAATGAGCGTTACCGTACGTGTGATACACATTTTATCTACAACTAAGATTTTTGTTTTATGTATTCGATGGTTTTGATTTTTCACAACAGATTATTTGGTGAGCTTAAAGCTCAAGGCTGAAAGAAAATATTTTCTCAACAAGGACTTCAAGCAACACTATCAGCAGCATCAGATATTAGTTCTACTTTTAATATTCATAAATAAAAAACGAGTTACGTAATGAGCCTATTAAATGACTAGTGATATAAGGGGCTCATTACATCACTAGTACGATAATACAACTTATAACGTAACTCAAATAGGCTAAAATGGGTTACATTATCGTAATAAGCTCTCATAGAATGGATGGGTGGGTCGTATTTAAAATGGAAAAATCAATATTACACAAAATCATACATAAAACCTAGCTTATTCTTTTTTTGACATTTCAATACAATTAAAAATCGATAATTTATATTTTATTTTATGTCAATTCATTGTTCACTATCTAATTATTTTATTTCGTTAATAAATTAACAGAAAAAAAAAAATATAATTATATTACAATGAATTATTAAGTACACGTAGGTACCTGGTACCGTTTTCAAAATATAGGCCATTGACAGTTTTCGGTGAGACACCCGGTAGGTATAAATCATTCATTGATGTATTATTATACAAACCCTTTTGTTCCACTCATTCCTTGTCTTTCCATCTCATTTGCTCTCGTACGGGATCACCGACATGTGGCCGCGGCATATTATCCGCTCCCACACGCGGGGAGGGGATAATAATATGTGCGTTCACGGACGCGTAAAATAACGAACTTCTGCGTCGTCTGGCAAGGATTAATCCTCGAAAAAACCGTCTCGCACTGGGTTTGTTTGATTAGCAATTTTTTTCTCTTTAATGTAAAAAAAAACAGGGTTCGGCAAGTTTTTCGAATTTTTTATTATTATTTTTTTTGCATTTTGGGAGCGTCTGGCAAGGCTTCAAACCCGTGAAAACCGTCTGGCAGCCCTGTTAATGGCACATTTTTAAATGATATGACGCAAAAATTGACCATCGGCAAGTATTTCGAATTTGGTGAATTTTTTAATGACTAATTAATTATGCCTACGACAAACTTCCCCACTACATGCTGCCAGACTATGGTTTTTGATCACGGAGGATAAAACTACATCGTTTAAGCAAAAAATTGTCTATCGGCAACTTTTTACGCTTTCGGGGGCCAGTTCACTGGCTCTTAGACTTTTATGAAAACTCGATTTTTTGAAGTGACACTTCTCAGGCGGCGGTCTGATATTTGGACAATAATGGAGAGTGATCTGAAAGACGCGTCATGTTTTGGCAAATTTTGTGACACGAGAGAGAAAAAAAAAACCTAGAGGGACGGAGAGAGACAGCCAATGACAATGACAGCCGACGAACGATTGACGCACAAACCAAGGAATATAAACTATTATTGTCAAGCGCCGATACCTTTGTGACGTCCCTACAGATGCACGTTTCTCTTTTGTGTGATCCTTCCTTTGTCTCTTTGCTACTAAAGGTCTTCATACGTTAAAATTTTGTACTTTAAATGGGAGTCAGGAGGCGGCGAAAATTGTCTTGGCACACAGGCAGCTAACACCTTAGCGGCGGCCCTGTCTTGATCATTACCATATAATAATTGTTCAAAACAGACTTTTGCAAATTGGACTTCTTCATTGACCATTGACTGCAATTTCAGACAGAGATATCTTCTGGATCTTCTTGTCGCTCTTGAACTTTTTGGGTGTTTTCCAAAGGCTTTCATATTTCCATTTCCAAATAGGTACCCTTGATCATAACTGATCAGCTAGGTACATCATTGATGTCGCTAATCATTATTCTTTTATCTACCCTACCAGTTTTGGACCGAACATTTCCAAATGACATAAATAAGTAAATAGGTTTTAGATATCGCCTCTGTAGAGCAAAAAGGGGTCAGGCGACAATTGAACTATTTTTGAGATAACCGCCATAACATCTTCATACCCCAAATCACGTTGTGTAAGAAGGTGACAAGCGGCACGTACATAAATTCATGTAGACATGAAAACTACAAATAATGGCAAATAAATAATAATTTTCAAAATAATTCCAGTTTTCTTAGTTTTTTCAATAATTTTGTATTTGGTACATGGCTCCTTCTTGTTCTACAGGGGCGATATATTGACAAAATCTGAAATGGTATTTGGTGTAATAGAGTCCCTCCTATTAAAAATTTTCGAAATGTTTTAAATAAAAGGTTTTAGGGTAAAAAGAGACAAATTTGAAATTATCTTTGCCAAGTTATTTGGCTCTGACTTTAAAAGAACGAAAAGTACTTAAAGTCTGTTTTTTTTTTAAAGATAAAAATCAAAATGACATTATGTTGGCAATACAATGTAAAATTGTCATGCTTTCAAATTTTTTATGTAGGAAAAGCTTGTGCTGCCAACATAGTTACTAAATTTTTGACTTGAGGAATTATCTTTAAAAAAAACCAGACTTTAGATATTTTTTTCAAACTCTTTTTTCCTGGAGTCTAATATTTTTACTTGGTAATAATGGTTGGCGTAACTGGAGGTCCCTTCGTTTTCTTCAATACATTCAGTATCTTCAGACAATTTTCCAAAATTGACAAATTGTATCAGAATATTAACAATTAAAAAAAAAAAAAAAAAAAACATTATTTAGGCCCAAACACAGCTTTCAAATCAATGAACTCAAAGATCTCTAGACTAAGTTGCTTGTGAAAGTAGAGGTTCGGCTTGTTATCAACAATATTTTGTACAAGTCTAGTCTCCGAGTTTCTGTTCCATGTTTAAAAAAAAACCTCACATCACTAATAACTTATAAATAGATGTCTGCCAGTTGTTGTAGGGGAAACGGGGATTCTTTTCAAAGTATGCTACAAATTGATTTAACCGAAATGCGATATATAACACCGTTAAAAGACAAACACGAATTAAAACTGGGAAAACTACATACTATTTCGAGAGGAGCTAAATATATCTCTCTCCACTCAAACGTGTATAAAATGATGTGTAAGTCGCATAAATTTTCTAGTATTCTGACAGGTCCTAAATTAATTTGGGTTAATATCCCGCAACACAACTCTACGGCGGTGGAGGGATTGATGAAGAAACTTAATATATTTAGATACGATTAAAAAAAGTACCGAAAAGTTACACATGTCTGAGTTTTGTAGTAGAGTCATTTATGAACAGGGTGACCAACAACGATTATAACCCCATAATGGGTTCAAATCACAAATGCAATGGAAACAAGATACCCTCTACTGAACCTGGATACTTGACTAAAAAAGTACTCTCTAAGAATATTGGTTCCCCATTCTTTATCACGAAGAAAAAAAAACCTTACATACCAAATTAACTTCATCGACTAAATCATTATAGGTTCACATTTTTAACATTTACCTAAAGGTATCAGTGTTGTTCCACAGCTTATTAAAAACACGCTGTAGAAGGTGTAAGTTGTCATTCATGTTGGTGTTAGACGTGTGTGGTGTCAAAATTCAGTGTTAGAAAATGCCAAAAAATATAAAAGGGCGTTGATGAAATCACTGGATGCTTTTAGCTTTGGGTGTAGAGTTAATTTAATTAGTAGATGACGATGTCTGCGAGTACTTCATACGATGAAAACAGGAAATTTACTAATTATTTAAGCTCTAATCAGTACTAATTATATTTTGCATATAAATTTTCATAGTTCATTCTTAAACTGCTAAAATTTTCAATATGGAAAATTATATGCTTATAAAACTTCATTAAATCATGTTTGCTTTATAAAAGTACCTAGCTAAATGTCGATGAAATAAATACACTATAACAAAGATAATTTTCAGGTTCTGTTCACCAGCAAAGTCTCGAAACTAGACCGGCAGTGTTTCAAACTAGGGAGAGTAAACAACAGGACGACGATTCGTATTTAGGTTACTCAACTATTAGTGGAGATTTCTTGGGTAATGGGGAACAAGGTATTGCTGTTGGTATGCCTAGAGGTGCAGAACTCCATGGAAAGGTAAAATATTATTCTAATGTAGATACACTTTGCGATTTGAAGATGATCAGTTTTGCTCAATTCTCGAAATAGGTTCCTAAACCTTGGAATCTAACTCAAACAACTTCGCGAGAGCCTAATTTATAAAATTTTAGGAAAATAGGGGTAAAAAATGTTTTAGTAAAGCTAGTATTTTTCTATAGGTTCTCCTTTTCACTTGGAATCTAACAAATTACAAAAACATCTCCAGTAGCCAGTTGGGTTCCTACTTTGGTTACTCCTTGGCCGCTGCCGACGTGGATGGCGATTCCAAGTTAGACCTTATCGTTGGTGCTCCCATGCATACGGAACCAAACACAGAAGACAAGTACGACGTTGGAAGGGTTTATGTGTTCTACCAAGGAGGTGGATTTGTAAGTTGGATTTTGTAATCAAAGTGCTTCATATTTATTTAATTTTATTTTACAGGGAAGTTTCAATCATTCTTCATTTATTGACGGCACCAACTCGAAGTCTCGATTCGGCCACAGTGTAGCCTATTTGGGGGATATGAATCAGGATGGATTTGATGGTGAGAGATAAAAAATATTTTTTACTTGGGAATTATTGCATTGCATATTATTTATAAGTATGTATATTAAATTTCGTGATTTGATAGAAGAAACAACCCTCTAATGTAGGAAGTCATATTTTTTCTGTATTTTTTTTGTCAGGAAATTTAATGGAAAGTTCTTGTTGGCTCGAGTTCAAATGCAGACCTGCTAGTATCAAATTAGTTTTGACACATAGAAGATTAGGCACCTCCTGACTCTCATCTAAAGTACAATATTTTAACGTATGAAGACCTTAGTAGAGACGAAGGAAGGACCACGCAAAAGAGAAACGTGCATCTGTAGAGACGTCACAAAGGTATCGGCGCTTGACAATAATAGTTTATAATCCTTGGTTTGTGCGTCAATCGTTCGTCGGCTGTCATTGTCATTGGCTGTCTCTCTCCGTCCCTCTACGTTATTTTTTTTCTCTCTCTTGTAACGAAATTTGCCAAAACATGACGCGTTTTTCAGATCACTCTCCATTCTTGTCCAAATATCAGACCGCCGCCTGAGAAGTTTCACTTCGAAAAATAGAGTTTTCATAAGGGTACCCCCTTTGAATTCTGATTTCAAAATCTTTAAACCTCGATTGCTCGGTAACCTTTGAGCAAATTACATTGAAATATTCAGCATTTGTAGATTTTAGTAGGCTTTAAATGGCCTGTAATTTATAATATTTCCAGATTTATAGTTTTTGAGCAAATTGAGTTTGAAGTATTTGACAAAATTTGGACTAAAAGTCAACTTTGAGGCTCAGAAACTATTTGAGCTATCAATCTCAATTTTGCACAGATTTATAGAGAATAATGCTCATTCTCTAATGGTGTATAATTTATTCCAATTTATTGGAAATTTAACAAAGATATGGAAATTATTCATGATTAAGTCAAGATTTTGAAAATTTTCCAGAGCCAAAAATAGGATTTTCTTTTGCTTTTTGTTCCTGCTTAAAATGAACATTTTGAATTGATGTCAGGGTTGTTTTCCACTAATTCTGACCCGCTTTATCGATTGGTAAAATCAAAATTGAGCAAAACTGAAAAATAAAAAAATCGAGTTTTTCTTTTCTTGAATTCTGATTTAAAAATATTCATACCGCAATTGCCTGGTAACCGTCGAGCAAATTGCATTGAAATTTTAAGCATTATTAGCTCTTATTGATCTCTAAATGGCCTATAATTAACAATATTTTCAGATTTATAGTTTTTGAGCAAATTGAGTTTGAAGTTTTTGAAAAAAATTGGACTAGAAATCAACTTTGAGCTTCAATTGCTTAAGAACTGTCTGAGCTATCAAACCCAATTTTGCACGGATTTATAGAGAATTTAATGCTCTTTCCAATGATATATAATTTATTTCAATTTGCTCGAAATTTAATAAAGATATGGGCAATTTAGGCAGAATTCCATTTAAATTATGAGAAATGTTGAAGAAATTATGCGAAATTATATTGAAATTATGTGAAATTTGATAGAAATTATGCGAAAATATATTGTAATTTCTTTTGGAATTTCCCAGGTAAAGTCCGACAAATACCATTTTAAAGTCACGTGATACTGGTGACAAAAAACGTATGTCCATTGATTATGCCGTTGATCACCTACAAAAAGCTACTGGTGGGTAATTACTATTGAATTTTAATATATGTTCCCACTAGCATTTTACAAACGCGTTTCTGAAGTAGTATTGACCAATCAGATGAGAATTTTAATACTTGCAATTGTTGCGAGACTCACTTTTGTCGCTTCTGCTGCCCCTTGTAATACATTCTGAACTTGAATTGGGTACCCGTTTTCTATTTGCTTCTTTTCCAGTTGGAAAAAGGTTAATATAGTCAAAATTATTAGCTGTGTTTGCTCGTTGTATTATTTTCGAAAATAACTTTGACAAACTAATTGATGACAGTGACGGATTCTATTTCAGGTAAGAATATTATGAACAATAATTAGACAGCAATTTTTTTGTCAATTTTACTATCACCGCTGTTTGTGATGTATTCAACAAGGATAGAGAAAAATCACGTGACTTTAAAATGGTATTTGTTGGACTATATGACATGGAATTCCATTTAAGTTCAATAAAATATCTTAGAAATGACGACAAATAAAAAAAAAAAAAAAAAGCCAAATTCCCTAAAGTTTACGCGGGATGCCATTGAAATTACATAGAATAGACCTATCTCCCATGATTAGAAAAAGAGACCTTCATTGTAATAAATACAAGTTAGAAAACAATAAAAGATGACATGCGCGCGCAACTCGTAGGCTGCAGTGTAGCCAGATTGTATTGTTGCAGAACAAATGTAGACAATACAAATCGAACATTATAACATCAAAGAAGTAATATAGTCTCAAGTGTTTCATAACGCCTTAAATCGGATAAAAGAAGAGCTTTAAAGTGGATAAACATACTTTGCACTTTTATTTTGATAAATGTTTCATCCGGCAACATCGCTCAATGAAATTGCAAAGGAATATGTCAAGTATAATCCTAACATAACCTTAAACGAAACTGCGGTGAGTTCAAGTAATATGTAAGGTATTAGTTTGCTCTTTGTCAAATTACACGTTACAAAGAAAGAAGGAAGGATTCATTCTGAACTGGCCCCTGAATAAGAATATGACGCAAGCCTGTCATAAACTTGCTTCTCATTGGACGCTCACCTGCAGCCTACAAGCGACGCGCGCAGTCCAGGTAATAGGAGATCGGTCTATTTCGAATAGGTATGCTTAATTTCATCAAAATCGTGCGCAATTCAAGTGAAATTAAAGGAGTAATGACGTGGAATTCCAAAGAAAAAATAATAAATTTTAGAAAAATTACATGGAATTCTATAGGAATTTTGCAAAATTCTATAGAAATTATGCGAAATTTCAGTAAAATTGAATGGAATTAAATGAAATTCCGTAAAAAATATGCAAAATTTTATTGAAATTATGCTGAATTCCATAGAAGAAAAAAAAACGTTTTATTTAAAAAAAATCACATAGATTTCTTAGAAATTATGCAAAATTCTATAAAAATTATGCAAAATTCTATAAAAATTATGCAAAATTCTATAAAAATTATGCAAAATTCTATAAAAATTATGCGAAAGTTCAGTGAAATTAAATGGAATTCTGGGAAAATGGCGTAGAATTCCAAAAAAATCGTTGTTTCAATTAAATTCATAAAAACCATAGAAATTATGTGGAATTCCATGGGAATTCCATAAAAAATTTGCAAAATTCCATAAAAATTATGGGAAATCCTGTATAAACTATGAGGAATTTCATTGAAATTATGCTGAATACCAGGGGCGGATGGGCCAACAGGGATTTTGGGAAGTTTCCCGAAGGGCCGCTTGCTTCCAGGCCGGTCCAACCGGCAACTTTAGCAATATTCCTGTAGAGTAGTAAATCGGAATTTTAGTGGAATTTGAAAAAAAATGTGACATGTCAGAAAATTTCTTTAAAGGTGCTTGGAATTCCCGTGGAATTGAAAAAAAAAACCCTTCCTACGAAATAACTAGATATTCCATAAAATTTACATGAAATAATGTACCTGAAATTTCATTGAAATATTATCCCCGAAAATCCAAAAAAAATTGTGAAATTGTTTTTTAAATTTCAGCAAAATTCCAAGGAATTTTTATGAAATAACTCAGAATTTCAGCGGAATTCCAAAAAAAATTACGTGAAATGACCTGAAATACTCATGAATCATGTGAAATTACATGGAATTCCAAAAAATTCCTGTGAAAATACAGAAAATTTCTTTGAAACTAATTGAATTTTTAGTGGAATTCCGAAGAATTTTCAGGAAATTCTGGTGTTCAATTTATGAACATTCTATGAACATTTGGAACATTCTATAATAAGAATTTCAGTGGAATTCTGAAAAATTCTTGTAAAATTACACGAATCATTCTTCATTTATTGACGGCACCAACTCGAAGTCTCGATTCGGCCACAGTGTAGCCTATTTGGGGGATATGAATCAGGATGGATTTGATGGTGAGAGATAAAAAATATTTTTTACTTGGGAATTATTGCATTGCATATTATTTATAAGTATGTATATTAAATTTCGTGATTTGATAGAAGAAACAACCCTCTAATGTAGGAAGTCATATTTTTTCTGTATTTTTATTGTCAGGAAATTTAATGGAAAGTTCTTGTTGGCTCGAGTTCAAATGCAGACCTGCTAGTATCAAATTAGTTTTGACACATAGAAGATTAGGCACCTCCTGACTCCCATCTAAAGTATAATATTTTAATGTATGAAGACCGTAGTAGAGACGAAGGAAGGACCACACAAAAGAGAAACGTGCATCTGTAGAGACGTCACAAAGGTATTGGCGCTTGACAATAATAGTTTATAATCCTTGGTTTGTGCGTCAATCGTTCGTCGGCTGTCATTGTCATTGGCTGTCTCTCTCCGTCCCTCTACGTTATTTTTTTTCTCTCTCTTGTAACGAAATTTGCCAAAACATGACGCGTTTTTCAGATCACTCTCCATTCTTGTCCAAATATCAGACCGCCGCCTGAGAAGTTTCACTTCGAAAAATAGAGTTTTCATAAGGGTACCCCCTTTGAATTCTGATTTCAAAATCTTTAAACCTCGATTGCTCGGTAACCTTTGAGCAAATTACATTGAAATTTTCAGCATTTGTAGATTTTAGTAGGCTTTAAATGGCCTGTAATTTATAATATTTCCAGATTTATAGTTTTTGAGCAAATTGAGTTTGAAGTATTTGACAAAATTTGGACTAAAAGTCAACTTTGAGGCTCAGAAACTATTTGAGCTATCAATCTCAATTTTGCACAGATTTATAGAGAATAATGCTCATTCTCTAATGGTGTATAATTTATTCCAATTTATTGGAAATTTAACAAAGATATGGAAATTATTCATGATTAAGTCAAGATTTTGAAAATTTTCCAGAGCCAAAAATAGGATTTTCTTTTGCTTTTTGTTCCTGCTTAAAATGAACATT